TGGTTTGCTGCGTTGGTGAAGCGAGAGGGAACGGCTGGGCGAGTGAATTTGGTGGGAATTATCCGGTGAGTGATCGATTGTGAGGGGTTGCGATTTCTCGGGAATTTTTAAGGAATAATCGGGATACTCCATCCTCAATTCCGGAATAATATTTCGGTATCCGAAATATTTAATTCTCGATTCCAGAATAATATTCCGGAATCTGGAATATTTTATCCTCAATTCCGGAATAATATTCCGGGGACTTTCTCGTATTGAAATATTGTACGTTGCGTCTATAAGAGATGGCATGTACTGACGACGCGCCGTCCGAATTTAAGTGAAATCGGGCAATAATCACGAGGAGCACTCAGGGAAGTATTTTCATACGTTCTTTCTCCGCAGATTCGTCCTGTCGACTGGCAATTGAGGGTTTTGCGAATTATTAGCGGGTTTCAAGGGGCAATTGGTCGTATTTTGAGACATTCTTTTGGGATTTTTGAATTATTATTGCCACCAGCAACCTCCTGAACAGTTTGAAGTTGCTGGGAGGCCATTGAGCTCCTCACTCTGAGGACTGCTCCGAGTCACTACACGAGGTGGAGGTTTGGGAGGCCCCAAACTTGCACTTTGTCACAGTATAATTGTGTCACTTTATTCTTTTCCTTTCCCTTCCTTTTTCCTCTTCTCTTCGAGTCACTAATTTGACGTACACTATCATCCAGAGAATGAATTTATTCCAATATCGACTGAGAATCCATTTAAAAATTATATGTACCGGAATCCGGAATATTATTGCGGATAAAATATGACGGATTCCGGAATATCATATGCCTGATTTGAGGATTTTTTTCGAGGAAATTAATAAATTGGAGGAAATAAATAAGAACTAATTCTTTGGGTGATATTTTCTTCAAATATACCTGAAATTGCATTCAATATCACTGTTCTGAACATTTCTGATCAACTGCCCATGAAATTTCGATTTTTTTCTAACACTGTGGTCACCATATGCGACCCTGCGGCTTTGAACATCTCCGCGGGCAGACGCCGCCGCGTTATTTAGGCGCCAGCATTGCCGAGTTCACTCTACACTGTCCGGGCGCGTGTAGCGAGTTTCCGACAACGTCGCGTAACGCGGCAATTTCATTTAACACGCGTCATAATCTAAATTCATTAGCAAATCGTAAAACGGTTCCAGTCGATTTTGATTATTCGCCAGTTTTCAAAGAATATCTCAGAATCTAAGGAAGACAGCAAAATTTTAGACATAACCTTTTCTATAGCACTCAATTTCTTCTACAAAAAAGGTCATTCCAAAAATTTCGCTATCTCTCTTAGATTTGGAGATATTCCTCAAAAACTCAGATGAGATCTAAGTCGACGTGAATAGTTTTACCGCTTCGCTACTGAATTCAAAATTATCTCACAAGAAAAAGTAGAATATTCAATTTCCAAAAATGTAATAAAGATTTCATCAACGAAATCAACCAAAATTGTCAATAATTATCGACAAAGTTATCGAATCCTCACCGAAATTCCCTTAATTCTCCCCTCAACATCAAAATATTTCCATCTCCATCCTCAACAATATCTCCATTAGATCAAAAGATCTAAATTCATGACTCCGGTTTGATGTCTAACATATCCGAAAGGGGGTACAGAGAGCGTGTACCCTGTACCGTACGCCAACTCGGACCCAGAGTACCCCCTTGTTACCATAAGTTACACCTACACACTCGTCAAGACTGAATTGTGCACGGGGAGAATATATACATGCCAAGAGGGATACATTTGCTATTACTTTTACCTTCGCTTGCATAACCCCTCCCCCCTCATACCGCATGAATCCTCCGGAGCAATCCATGATCCAATTGCAGCGCGTCTTTGGTGGTCTCTTCCTGGGCATATAACGTATAGTGGCACGAGGATTTCGCTTAATGAAGACAGCTTATCGGCTTACTATTGTCGGGAGTCGTTAGCGGGTGCACCAAAAGCTCCGTTCAATCCTCAATTCTTCATTTGGTTCCTTTGTACGAGTGACATAGATCGATTTGTTTCAATGCGATGTGCATTTGAATACAATGCCCGGTGGAGATTGAAACAATTGTAAGATGATGTTCTGATTGAATCTGGGGGGATCAGGGCAAAGGGTTTTGTTAAAGGATTGAGGTGATACGATCGCTTGGAGTGGTTGGAGAATATGCGACGGATATTGCGAGAATTTTTAGATTTGCGGAGTGGAAAGAGTGTAAGGAACTTCCGCAGTAAGTATATGCACTGAGAGAAAAATCTGAAGTTCGATTTACAATAAGAAAATAGTTGAGGCAGTTTTGGTGAACGATTCGATTTTTTGGTGTATGTGGTACATAACATTATAGTAACTTCACGAGCGTAATTTTTGCAAATCAAAATGCAGTTAAACTAACCAAAGTTCAAAAGTAACCACGACAAATCTATCGTGAGTAGAGCTATAAAATAGTAGCAATGACTACATTCTATTGTAATAATCACTCCTCCGGCCATAGTTACCGTAACCCATGAGAAATTGTTGAGGACTTTTTGACTATAGTTCGATGGTGATGGAATATAGTCAGAAGAATCATATTTTTCTCTCAGTGTGGGAGTAGAAGGAAATGGACTACAGAGCTGAAATTTTGAGAATATATTCTTTGAGTGATTACAAATATCCTCCCGAAGTCCCAAAACGCTGAACCACGTAGATTGTTGAGGAGAAAATATGAAAAATGTGTCATTAACACAGAGTCTTATGGCACCACTTTTTCAAAAATCACAAAAAAATAATCGACAATGGAATAAAAATCCAAACGCTTCACGAGTAGAACCGTATATATTTCAGAAACATATCCCCACAATTTCATGTCATCTCAGGGATTATTTGTAATTATTGAAAATGTATGGCATAGTTTCGGATTTTAGTTACGTTAGAGTAAACTGATGGCTGAATATGGCAACGTTGAGTATAGGATTTTATCGGGACACAAGAATACCAACTATGTCGAACAAAAATGCGTGGTTGTCAAATCTCTCATGAAAATTTTTAATTGTTAAAAAATCCGGATAAATAATGTTTTGGAATAAAAATCATTTGGAATTGATTAATCATGAATGATAAGTGTAAAGAAACCTAAGCGACGATTTTTCAAGGCACATTTTTTTCGCCATCAATTCTTTTGGTCTCATTCTGACAGAAGATTAAGATCTGGTAAGCATAATTTGTCTCCAAAAGTTGACGATTTCGCGCGATTTAAGAGGATCTAATGAGGCCTAATGAGTGCTAATTTTATGATGAGGCAGGACGACTGCTTTATCGGGTCTAAAAAAAAATTGAGACATCCGCGTGAAAATTGAGGCGATGATCAAGGCGCATAGCTTGCTCATTAGTTACGGCAACCTCCTCTCCCTATTTTGAATATTCATGAATAAAGACACGCGCGTGCGAGATATACGAGGAACTTTACGATCCGTAAAAAACCGGATGTCTCTAGTCTGGTGCGTTTTCAGGGCCCTGTCAACTGTCAAATTGCTGAGGCTGTTTTTTCCGACGAATTTACAACGGGGAATAATAAGAAAGCGCGAGGAGAATATTCCCATTCGATTGATTGATTCTTGCATTTGAGAAATGGGAGGAATTTATTTATCATCTGGAGTAATCTCAACTTATTAAAATAAATTTGACAGCAATTTTTCATGAATGGCGGAGCTTTCTCAGCGAAAATACCAGACCATTAGATCCGCGCCCGTTATTGCCATATAAACAGGTGAAAAAAGAAAAACTGTATCATGAGGCTGAGGAAGTCTAGCACGTCCGCGTGAATTTCACCTCCGGGATGAAGGCGAAAGGGGGACGCAAGGGGGAAGAAGGAAGGTGGTAGAAAGTTTTGATACGTGGAAGGGTGTTGGGGTCGACTACTTAAGGCCACTGGGAGAATCATTAAAGTTGAAAATACGAATTGAATGGAACTTTCTTCGAGTTCATTTCGGATAGAACTGACCGGAATGATAGGTGGAGTCAAAATGAGCTGAAAATCTCCATCAACGAAAAATCGAAATTTTCTTAAAATCATGAACGCAACCGCTCTTAGCTTTCAACCCAGGAGTCACGTCGGGACGTGGCGGTGCTGCGGCTCCCAACGAGAAGAACCTGAACAACACCGACACCCTAAAATACAATGACTATTTTCTTGATGAAAACAAACCTCCGTCGTCCTCCACGCGACAAGAACCAATTTATATAGTAATAATGACTGAAATAGTCGTGAAATCTCTTAGGATATAACATCACGCACTATTACACCTCTAGTTGTTGTAATAGAATATATTTAATTCATCACTTTAATTCAGTTTCAATTAATACCTTGAATTCGATGAATTGTCATCAAGAGAGATGTTGTTCAATTATTTAACCTGGAGCTGAGCGACGCAATACAACAATAGCACCCGACACTTATCTCGGTAATGACCAATTCATCGCATCACATTAACTCGAGGGGATGTATACAATTTGTTTTCAGGGAAACCAATATCTCTTTCCTATTTCAATAGAAGTATCATCGAAAGGTTTGTAACTGGTCTAACCTATTACATGCGCGCGCATTCTCATATTTAGCCACGGAGAAGTGCATGCGAGCGCCACTGGTGACCCATTAAACCCTCAACATGTTGTTTAGTGACATCCCAACAATAAAATGAATCTCAAAACCGCCAAATCTCAAATTAAGGGTTCTGAATTGTCGCCAGATGTCATTCTCGAATATCTTCAATAAAGAATGCATCAATATGGGAACAAAACGCGAAAAGAATCTATTCAACGCGATTCAAATTCACAGCACGGTGCTGTAATGACGCTCGTTTCCCCGCACTGCTGACGAATGAAAGAAAAAAGTCAATTGCCAAGAGAAACGCAGGTGAGTGAAAATAAGACAAATCGTTACGCTCAAAGGAGACCACGAAATGAATGAGAATGAAGTGCCAACAAAAAGCTGAACGGGATCTCTTACCTGTGCATATTCGGCGCAAATATCGATCGAGGACACGTAGTTAACGACGTCCTCGATGGTCCAACGATTGACGGCTTGGCCATCACCGCAGGGCATGTGACCGCAGAGTGAGGGACATCTGACTGGTGGAGGTGTACTTGGCCGAGGTGCTGCTTTTGGCTTGGGCGACACGCTTCCCGATCGTCGTGTTTCTGGTCTTTGTCTCTTGCGGGGGGCAAAACCACCCGGAGACGAGAGGTCCAGGGGACTTGTCACACCTGTGTCTCTCTTATTCGCACCTACGGATGTCAATCACAGTTGGTTGATTTACATGGACGAAATTATTTGGGGTGACTTCAACAACTTGTTGGTGAAATTTAACAACCGATTAATTAGAATACAGAAAAAAAATTTCAGTTTCATTCAACAACCATTTGTGAAGTTTTGCATGGACCGCGAAAAGTTTCAGCAAACATTTTCTAACAGCAATCAGCTTGACCCTCTAATTCAATAAATTCAATCAAGTTTGACTGGCGGAGTAGATGGTGAGGGCATTTATACATTTGGAAACAATCCCGCGATCATTAAAAAAAAAAACAATCAATTTCAAGGCAAGGAGCACTTTCCAGAATGGTGTTAACATCGTGACTTAACGCGAAATTTTAACATCGCAATTTAACGCGAAATGTTCAAACCGCGATTTTTTTTTTAATCATTATTTTACATCGCTTCGACCCGATTAGGGTATACTACGATGATGATCAAGACTTTAAAATGGGTAGATCGCACCATTCTACCCGGCCGAGATTTGAACTCGGAACCTTTCGCATGTGAGGCAACGAACTTACCCACTGCGCCAAGCCTTCGGGACACACCGCGATTTAACGCGAAGTGTGAACATCGCAATTTAACGCGAAATGTTAACATCGCGATTTAACGCGAAAAGTTGACACCGCGATTTAACGCGAAGTGTGAACATCGCGATTTAACGCGAAATGTTAACATCGCGATTTAACGCGAAATGTTGACATCGCGATTTAACGCGAAATGTTGACATCACGATTTAATGCGAAGTGTGAACGTCGCGATTTGTCGCGAAGCGTGAACTTTCCGATTTATCGCGAAGTACGGATTTCACGATTTCTCGCGAAGATCGCCGGCATTTGAATATGCCCCATACGATAGTGATTTCTACCGTCCCCCTGCTTGAGACAAGTCTAAACTTCAATTTCAACTGAAGTATCACTTCCCACAATGATGTTAACATCGCCATTTAACGCGAAGTGAGAAGTGGTTCAAGTCAATTTTGACTATTGGTCAGTTCCCAGTGAATATCTCTGAATCTAAGGCAGATAGCTAAATCCTTGTCATAACATTTTCCGGAGAGCGGATGAAGATCTACAAAAAAGGTAATTACAAAAATTTTTCTATTTTCATTAGTTTCGGAGATATTTCTCGTGAACTCAGCTAAGAGCCAAGTGGACTTAAATCCTCCTCTATTCTCTGCAAAAAATGTTCTTTGGGAAAGTTTATGTTTTACTCAACGTACCTTTTAAATAAGTCTCGAGTTCAGCTGCATTTTGCGCAGCATTCGCAGTCCTAACCATATGTAGTAATGCCTGAGTAGAAGACATATCCAGCATCGGTGGGAACACAGGATTACCAAAAAGTGTGTCCTGCTTCGGTTCCTTGGAATCCTTGCCAGATAATGGTGATGTCGTAGGTATTGTCGGTGGTTGTGGTGTCCCAAGAGGTGCCATCAGTCCCACAAAGGGCGTCGCAGCAGTCTTAAACGCTGGAAATCTCGGATCGAGACCCGGTGGATAGCCGTTGCCCCTCGAGCTGAAGTAACTGACGAAAGAAAAAGACAATGAGTGGTGGTCGTGGCCATTTGAAAACATTTCAGAGTTTATTATTTAATACACACTCGTTGGGGTTTGCGTTGTTGTACTTGGCGGCTAGACTTCTCATGAAGTCACTGTAATTTCTGCCCATCATCTGCTCCATGTGCTTGAGATGATGGGGCGCTGGTGGGCCGTCGGGTCCACCAAGTGCAGCGGCATTTGGTGGCGTACCGGGATGACTTGACGAGGACGGCGTCACGCTTCTCGATGACGTTGAATTATTATCGGGCGTGAGTCGTTCCGTCTTCACCTGCAAGTAAAACGTCGTTTATCGATAAAGAGTCAGAGGGTAAGAGGCTACTTCGAAATAAAATCGATTCCGCGTGATTACACATGGAGAGAATATACCAAAAAGAATTACTATGGGGATCATGTTTTATGATTAAACATGGTAATTTTTAACCCTAGTTTGGTCACCATATGAGAACTTGCGACTTTGGTCACCTCCGCAGGGAATCGCCGCCGTGTTATTTAGGCCCGAGCGTTGCCGAATTCACTCTATACTGCCCGGGCGCGTTTAGCGAGGCTTCGGCAACGTCGCACAACGGGAAATTTCATTTAACATGGGAAAAAATTACTCGTCTGTTAGAAATAATTTTTTTTCTTTAGGAATTGTGGATATAAATAATTTTTAAAAATATTATAATTTTCTAGACATTTGAATTGACGCATTCCAATTTTTTAGGATTTTTCGGCTCAGCCAGTCAATGGTAAGAAAAAAAAATCGACCTTCTGCGGCGTTTGCCTCCTATGGTGACCAAACTAGGGTTCAAATTGTTAAAAACGCTTCATTTTTTTGCCAGTTTTTACTATTGAACGACGAGGAATTACTCAAATCATATGAATTTTTACAATGTTAAATTGTAATTTTTTCTTACGATTTAAAATTTTAGTTTATACTCTCGCGTCTCCTACATTTTACTCGAGGAAATAGCAGAAATTACTATGTTGACTAGTAAAAACTCCAGCGGACGACGAGAGCGTCGATTGTTTTCAATTCTTGGAACCTCCTCCCTCCGTCGACCACGCAATGGCCCGGGTGGCGGATTCTATAATTGTAAAAAATTCAATCCTTCCTCTCCCCCTCCTCATTTTTAGAATGAATATACGTGGAGCAAAATTATTGATAATAATTTTCAAGGATGATAAAGAAGATTAAACATGGTTTTTCACTTCGGTTATTCTAAAAATCCCCCTCTCCCTCGTCCTCTTCCGCGAATATTCATTTTGAAAGGTGGAGAGAATTTTTTCAACAGACGAAGCAAAAATTCATGTTTATCCTCCTAAATTTTACTCGTGTCAATTGAAAATTTAAATTTTACACTACCATTTTCTACTATACCTACTCTCAATTTCTACTATGTTCACCAGTAATTTTTCCAAGAGAGTCCATCGTATTTTAATTTTATCAGCCGTATTTTTTCATCCAGCACGTCGTAATCTTCTCATATTAAGAATTACTATAGACCTACAGTAAAAACTAATTTGATATTCTTTCTCCGCAGCCTTGATTCTTATGATTTCAAATATCAGACGACATGACAGTAGTTGGCTTTGAATGATTACATTAATTCGAGATCTATGATGTCAAATAAATGTAAGTAATCGAAATCACGATGAGCAAAGTTGACTAAATAAGAGAGCTAAGGCTAAACCCATCGTTTCAAATTCTAAAAGTCTGCTGTTGACCAAACAGCATCATTTACATGCGCTTGTAGTTAAAATTTCAGCCAAAAATTTTGCCCAGTGCATCCAAAGTCCCTAAGAGATTGTTTTTACGTTGTAAACCCCTCACTTTAAAAAGGCATTAGCATGCGAAAAAACGTCTGGATTCACATTAATCCCATCCAGATTGCATCTAAGATATGGTAATGAAGGCAACGCGCGTGGCGTAAGGAGCTGACTCGCCCGGACACACCGTGAAGCCCCAGCGTGACACTGAGAAAGGCAGGAGGCATAGTCCCATCTCATTTTATTTAACTCTGTTTTAACAAAAGTCGTCCTCCACTTGTTTTGTTACTTCTGCGCTTTATTTTCCCCCCCTTCATTCTCGCGAACGTCCGAGTGACGCCAAGCGGTAAATCTCTTTCTCGCCTCGGAGAGAATTCTTCCTGACACACCACAGGCCGGTGGGGCTAGTCGGCGATACGTGAGTATACCTATTCCCGCTGAGTACACTTGAAACGGTTTTTACCCTGTTTTTAAGACGTTGTTTTATATGCAACGTATCGGAAGCGACAAGTTAAGGACTCGCGTATCCTTATTATCCACATCTGCTCTGTCTTGATAATAACGTACGTGTCTGTACTCTATAAATCAGTCTGGCAAATAAAACCTAATTCAACTATTCAAGTACTTTGGTATTGGCGTTCTCAATATAAACAACGAAGTGTGAGTGTTGTTATGGGAGAAACACGAAAAAAACTGGGCCTGTGAATTTTGTCGTTGATTCCGGGGATAATTGTTGGGGGCCCATTGTTGAATCTTGGAAACTAATGAAATTTTATTGGGCTGAATTTTTCTAGTACTGCTCCAGAATTTTTCCCATTCTTCATATCCTCGTACGTGTCCGCCGGACGTCGGTCATGTTCGGGAGTTGCACGAGCAGCCAATCTCGATCTCAACCTTGGGCAATGTTTGCACGTGTTCTACAGTATTATGTGATAATCAGTGATTATTTTTTTTAGTTTTCCAATTGAATTCAACCAATGATATATCCTAATATCCTTATTATCCACATCTTCTCTGTCTTGAGAATAACGTACGTGTCTGTACTCTATAAATCAGTCTGGCAAATAAAACCTAATTCAACTATTCAAGTACTTTGGTATTGGCGTTCTCAATACAAATAACGGAGTGTGAACATTGTTATGGGAGAAACAGGAAAAATTCTGGCCCTGTGAATTTTGTCGTTGATTCCGGGGATAATTGTTGGGGGCCCATTGTTGAATCTTGGAAACTAATGAAATTTTATTGGGCTGAATTTTTCTAGTGCTGCTCCAGAATTTTTCCCATTCTTCATATCCTCGTACGTGTCCGCCGGACGTCGGTCATGTTCGGCAGTTGCACGAGAGGCAATCTCGATCTCAACCTTGGGCAATGTTTGCACGTGTTCTACAGTATTATGTGATAATCAGTGATTATTGTTTTTAGTTTTCCAATTGAATTCAACCAATGATATATCCTAATATCCTTATTATCCACATCTTCTCTGTCTTGAGAATAACGTACGTGTCTGTACTCTATAAATCAGTCTGGCAAATAAAACCTAATTCAACTATTCAAGTACTTTGGTATTGGCGTTCTCAATACAAATAACGGAGTGTGAACATTGTTATGGGAGAAACAGGAAAAATTCTGGCCCTGTGAATTTTGTCGTTGATTCCGGGGATAATTGTTGGGGGCCCATTGTTGAATCTTGGAAACTAATGAAATTTTATTGGGCTGAATTTTTCTAGTGCTGCTCCAGAATTTTTCCCATTCTTCATATCCTCGTACGTGTCCGCCGGACGTCGGTCATGTTCGGGAGTTGCACGAGCAGTCAATCTCGATCTCAACGTTGGGCAACGTTTGCACGTGTTCTACAGTATTATGTGATAATCAGTGATTATTTTTTTTAGTTTTCCAATTGAATTCAACCAATGATATATCCTAATATCCTTATTATCCACATCTTCTCTGTCTTGAGAATAACGTACGTGTCTGTACTCTATAAATCAGTCTGGCAAATAAAACCTAATTCAACTATTCAAGTACTTTGGTATTGGCGTTCTCAATACAAATAACGGAGTGTGAACATTGTTATGGGAGAAACAGGAAAAATTCTGGCCCTGTGAATTTTGTCGTTGATTCCGGGGATAATTGTTGGGGGCCCATTGTTGAATCTTGGAAACTAATGAAATTTTATTGGGCTGAATTTTTCTAGTACTGCTCCAGAATTTTTCCCATTCTTCATATCCTCGTACGTGTCCGCCCGACGTCGGTCATGTTCGGGAGTTGCACGAGCAGCCAATCTCGATCTCAACCTTGGGCAACGTTTGCACGTGTTCTACAGTATTATGTGATAATCAGTGATTATTTTTTTTAGTTTTCCAATTGAATTCAACCAATGATATATCCTAATATCCTTATTATCCACATCTTCTCTGTCTTGAGAATAACGTACGTGTCTGTACTCTATAAATCAGTCTGGCAAATAAAACCTAATTCAACTATTCAAGTACTTTGGTATTGGCGTTCTCAATACAAATAACGGAGTGTGAACATTGTTATGGGAGAAACAGGAAAAATTCTGGGCCTGTGAATTTTGTCATTTCAAACAAACCTGAGTTGTGTCGAGGCCGTTTTGATTCTGACGCCTTCTACCTCTGGGTGGCCTCGGTGTCACAGCACCGGACAAGTGTGCGCCCTGAGGGCTCCCGCCCCTGGCGTCAATCGCTGTGTTCGCGGCCAGGGTTGTCTCGTCCAAATTTTCCGTGTGTCTGCCTAGTTCAGCAGCTTCAACGCGCTCACCTCTTCGTGGTACTGTGCCTGCTGATACACTCTCACTGGATACCTCACCTGGAACATCGGAAAATAACAACATAATCGTTAGACTTCATTCATTAACTTTCTCCTTAAACTATTTAAGAATATCCATGCACTTTGGCTATTTTTTTCTTTAATAAAATACTTTTCTACTTTTGTAGTGGAACATCGGAGCTTTCATTTAACCCTAAGTTTTCGGACATTTTACAATGATTTTATTATTCAAAATTTGCAGGTCTGCATTGGAATCTTGATACTGAACCGTTGAAAAACGTTTTAAAAATCTGAAAAAAATTAGAAAGTTTATTTTGGAGGAAAATCGATGAAATAATTCAAAATTGCGATTTTTGAAAGTGATAAGCAGTTCCTGTAAATAATTTATAAATAATGAACTGCCCGCCATAAAAATTATTCGTTCGGAATCGTCACAAATTTATTTATATTTAGAATTTTACCAGCAATCAATTTCATTCGTCAATAAAATTGTTTCCGAAAGTTTAAACGATTTCAATTACTTATTTATCAACAATGAATGTTTAAAGAAAATAATAATTCGGTGGAAAATGTAATGTGATTGACGCTGAGTATTCCTGATTTTCTCCAAATTTTTCTGACGCAATTTGATTGACAAATTCGGTTTATAAATAAACCTCAATAGTGGGATTATTCTTAAAAATCGTGAGATAATCAATTTCTGTGAAGAAAAATAAAGTTTCAAGTCTTTATTTTTTTAATTTATCAATAATAAATTCCTCTATATTCCACGTGACTCAGAGGTCACTTTCAGACCGAAATAACACGAATGCTCCTCGTCATAAACTCAGATAAGGAAGACATTCCCCAAACACCCAGAAAAAAGGTATTTCCAGCTTCGTATCATCGATAAAAAATTATAGAAAATCTATTCGTCTTCAATCTTTGTTAATTCGACAACTGCCGAGTACAATCCGACGATAGTTTTTCAGCCAGTGAGAATTTTTCGGCTGAAATTTCCCGTACATTTTTTGGAAATTTTCATCACATTTTAGTTCCACTAAAAGTTCAAGGAATTTCCTCATTGCAAATTCAGAATCTCAGGGACAAATCTATCAGAACGGTGAATTGTATTTCAATTGTTTCCTGACAATTAGTAGAAATCGTGAAAATTCCGGTAAAGGTTCTTCGGAATTTTGAATTAATTAAAAATTCATTCAAATATGTTTCCCCGAAGAGATCTTTTGTCGTGTTGAATCAATTAACTTGAGGACAAAAAAGAAATTTCCCACCAAAACATGATAATTTTCGTAGTAGTAATTGCTCTCGTGAGACATTTATATGTCTTTCGGGTGAATACATTCGTTCTACAGAGAATTATATGAGGCTCCGGTTTTATCAAGTGAATGTTATTGAGTAGTGTATATTTTTGTCCAATAAACATTTATAATTTCCATGGAACAAAAGATAATTTCAAGAGGAAACTACAATTTTCTTGCCGATAAATGTGTTATTGGGAAAACTAGATAATTTCGAGGGGACAATTTTTTTTGGGAAAAAAATATTCTTTCCTCGTCAATATTTTTTTTCTATGGTATAAACCTGTGGAGTTCTCTCAGATCAAATGATTGTCGTACAATAGATTATATTTTTTCCTGCCAACAGTTCGAATTCTTCTAGAGATATTCCTGATGATCACGACGAAAATTTAATTTCTGTGAAAGATATTAAATTTCCTTCCATCAAGTTAGTTAATTTCCCTCAAGTAAATTTCTTCCACTCCGTCAAATATCCTCGTGGAAGATATAGTTGTTCGGCAGCGCTAATTTTTTCTCCCAGTGTGTGTAAAAATTGGAGTTCATGATTTTGGAAAGTTATTAATCGACTATTCACCGAGTTTCAATTTTTTTCTGGTAGTGCACTCGCTGATAATTACACTCTAAAAAAAGATTACTGCTGACAAGTAGGAAAACTACTTGTATTCAGTACCGAGGCGTTTCTGGAGAAAAGCTAATTTTTTTACTTGGTCCAAGTCGAAAATCGACTGAATACAAGTTTTATGCTCCAAGTACAATTAGCACTGGTGACAAGTACCAACTGTACTCATCATCAGTACTGAAAGTACTTGTACTGAGTACCGAGCTGTACTTCTCAAAAGTAGAAAAAATACTTGAGACAAGTAGTAATAGTACTCAAATCCAGTACCAATGGATTTTCGCGGAATATTACAGTAAGATTCATCATACAATGGAGATCGTTGAAAAACGAAGAATTAATGCAAATAAAATTATTGTTTATTGTTCGTTTGCCCCTCAAATGCTTGAAAATTGAAATGTACTGGACTACAGTCCAGTGTAATAAATTCTCGAGCTACAGAGATTTTTT